TCCCTTTACACCTCTCTCCCCCCTCTTCCCCCTTGTTACTACTGATTGGTTTACCTAAAACTTTCGTTAACTCTAACCTCCCTTATATTACTGTATTGCCCGATGATGAATTCATCGAAAACGTTCGTTCGCTTAACTTGACTTCCTTAAAACTGGAGTTATTTAAATCGGCGAAAATTGGCGTGTCCTATTCGAGGTAATTGAAGTCTCGCCAATACGAATTACACATGATCAAACATACAGATAACAAAATTTTACATGTGTATATGTTACTCACTATTTTATAGTAACACATTTTATGTTGTATATTTTATGTCAACTGTTTTCAGTAGGGTCTTCAAAGGCATTGCCTACTACCCTAGATATACTATACTATACGACAGTTCGACTGTCGGTTTCAATGAGGTCTGTTGTGCGCTCCACCTCAAGATAATGTAGGTACGGTGACGCGCTAGATTATGGTGGGAGTAGGCTTGCGGTGCATCTTGCCCCACTCCTCCACCCGGGCCAGGTGTCAAAACAAAGTGAAGAAGACCGGAGATGGGAGAGGGCAGAACCATACAAAATTTCCCAAACACATAGCCGCCATCCGCGCTAAATTACTCATTGTCAGTTAAAAATCAACGTAAGTGTTCCTTGTAAGTAACACGGTAGTTTAATATAACATAACTGAATAAAACTTAAATAAACTAAAACTTAACTAAAAATAAGGAAAATAAATAATAAACTAGTAACTAAACTTAAAAATAAACTACAATGAAATGAATAGTAAGTTGTGTATAGTACACTTGACCATTGAGAACAGTACACTATGATGTAGCTTATAAGGAACCTTCATTAAAACTAAATAACTGCCTACATACACTGTAGACTGAGACACTGCTGTAGGACAAAACGTCCATATTCGATCCTGTAATCAAGTAAAAAGCGCGGATCACCAATCACACACGTTCGTGAATATTTTTATTCATGCCTGATAAGGCGTTTTGGTTTAGAATCAACAGTTAGCATGCCTAAAGCTCACTGAGGAACAGGCCCTTGGTTAAAATCTCACGTTAGCTACCGAAGACAGCTAGCCCATTCCAGTCTCCCGAAACTTTATGGTGACAACTCAGAACTCACATTTAGTCTTTACGGCATCGACCCGCTCCTGGAAAGTACGCGAGTCCTCCTCAAGGCGGCTGGCCAATAGGTCGCGATCGGCGATTGCTTGTTGCCGTTCCTGTTGTGCAAGGCGAACCATTCTACAAAAAGAGTGGATCAAAATTAAACATAAGAACCTTCCTTTAAGAGGTTCTTTGAAGATGAATCACGACGATCATAACCAGTGTTAATGGGAAGTGGTTTAAGAATATCCACGCATAAGCAATGAGGCTGTACTGATCAGGTCTGCAATGCTGTTCAAGCTCTCAGATTATGGTACAAAGTTCTCAACAGAGGATAAGGGAAACAAACATTAAAATAAGATGAAAGACTACAGCTTAGAAAAAATATTTAAAAGTGGCTGCTAAAGAAAATCGAATTAGCCTACGGGTTACTTTTTCGGGTGCACGATTGTTGTCAATGTAAACAGGCAAATATGTGTGTTCTGCATGCAAAATTACGACCGCGTCTACGAGAAGTTTATGTTCTGAGCTTTCAGTTTCGTAAAGGGTTCCATCATCACCGGAAACTGAATACAACGACAAACTTCTTCTTCGGTCAATGTGAGGTTGATGTAGGCTACTTGGCAATGCATTCGCATTGTCTAGGAGGCATTTGAGCGATCATTGCGGTAATTAATGTGCCCTAATCCCAGCTGAAGGCCTTTATTAACTCCGATCTGCCGGACGACGATCTGTGCGCCTACAAACGCTAAAATGGGACCGCTATTCTACGTGCGGCAAACCACCCAATACATCTGCTCACTGCTGTACACGGCCCACTTCGGCTCACGTACTCATGACTCTAGTTTGGTTTAATTTAACCTGTTTAACCGTAAAAACAATAACAGCATGCTATTTTGAAATAAATTATTTGAGGCCGCCAGAGGCTGACGATCAACACTGTCGTGGAACCCTGCAATAACGTACTCTGTAGTCTAGAAACGTTCTTGTTTATAGACCGACAACGAGATAAATTTCGTCGGGTTGCAGCTGTATCCCTCTGCGGGTGATTAGGAAAACTCAGACCTAAAAAAATCTTTGGGTTAACCATTGAACCTGAATTGCTCGCGGTTTCTTACGTTCTCACTTCCAAGACCCTACACCTGAAAAGGTAGCCTACCTGAACCCCTTATTTGCTGAATGGGGTTATTAATGCTACCTAGTTGCTATTGTTATCTTTATGTCTGGCGTGAGTCATTGCATGAGTCTGCAACCTTTCATAGATGTACTCTTCGTCCCTATGCTCAAAGTGCTGGGGTCCAGCTTAACTCAAAGCGCACACCGCCCTAACGAGGCGTTCCCACGCGAGACCGCAGGTACACCCACGCAGAATGAATGTGACGACGTGCACAGCTCAACATGCGCAGGACTCTACCGCGAGCCAGACAATTGGTCCACCCACACACACACACACACACAAAGTGCGTTGTGTGATGCCGCTGCGCCCAGCTCCTGCCAAACGGTAGACTAACACGCCAACTCTCATGATTCACCCAGCCAATGAAGTCCTGTCTTTCCTGTGACGACCAACCTTGTACATACGCGTTCGCTTGCTTTAAATTATACTATACTAGGTTTCTCGAAGACTTCTACTTTAGTCCACTTCTTGTCGTGTTCTTCTTTTGGGGGCTCGCACAAGGTGTAACGTAGATGGCGATAACACAGTTTTGGCCACCGTTACAACACAAAGATTCTCCTTCGGTAGAGCATAACCTGTCTGGAACTCGAATATGTGTCGTCATCTGAGGGGCGGTCCTGGAATATTAACGAACCCTCTTGTTAAGATAGGTCCGAATGCTTTGGGTACTCTCTTCGGCAAATATAAAAGGTTGATAGACAAGCGTCACAGGTAATCGAATCAGCTCTCTTCACAGGGCTTCATTTCGTGCCAAGAAGGCGCTCGACAGGCAAATACAGAGGAGCGCACACGCGGCCAAAAGATATCAGCGCCGGTATTGCTAAACCTGACGAGAAAGGAGCGCACGCCAAATCAGGAGTATCCATCGGATTAATGTCGGCGAATCACCAAACAGAATCAGTACTTGCCACTAGTGGAATGTCAACCGACGTCCTACTGAGCAGAAACCTCCCTCCGTTTAGGATAAGGGGGTCGAGGACGCTACAGTATGTCTGCATGATGCAGAGAAAACAAGCATTTCTGATAATTCTCTTCCAGAAAACTTACTCTCTTAACTCATTGATATCCCCGCAGAGATCAACATAATTACCGACTGTGGTGTCCCATTCTGTCTGAGTGCTTGAATTTTCAAGAACAGCGCCTAGGGACAGGTATGCGGGGGTAGTCTGTCTGGATAGGTGCCGGGAACGGGCCAAAAGTGACCGGACCAGTGGAAGTCGACTGCCCGCAAAGTCTAGCCTGTGCTCCAGCACCTGAAGTCGTCTGAGAAGAGTCGCCAGGGCGTTGGGGCTGGATCGTGACCCCTCGGCTCTCGTTCCACCTGGAGAGCCATCGAAAACCGTCTGGTTCAGTTGACGCAGAGCAGACGAGAGGGCTTCCAGCTGCACCCGATAGTTGTTCGTCTGGCGTTCTTTTGAGCTGAAGGAGCTTTGTAAGTCCTGCAGTTGTTGAGCCAGTAACTACAAGGTTGCGGAAGAATGTGTCGCTATCAGT